TGTGTGCGTGCGTGCGTGTGTGTGTGTGTGTGTGTGTGTGTGTCTTGTGTGTGTGTGTGTGTGTGTTTGTGTGTGTGTGTCTTGTGTGTGTGTGTGTTGTGTGTGCGCGCGCGTGTGTGTGTGTGCGCGCGTGTGTGTGTCTGTGTGCCGGGGCGCTTGGAGGGCCCCTGAGGCAGGCAAAACGCCCCCAGGGAAGGCGCCAACGGAGCCCCCCAAACGCTCTCAGAGGGCCCCGAGACGCCCAACGGTCCGGCCAAGACGCCCAAGATGGCTCCCAGACGGCCCAGGAGACCTCCAAGACGCCCCACGAAGCCTCCACGAGGCCTCCCAAGAGAACCCAACGAGGCACAGTTCATAGATTGATGTATGATTTTCGTCGGATTTGAGCTTTCTCGCCTTTTCGAGCTTCCCGACGCTCCAAGGCGGCCCTAGAGGCATCCATCTCCTCATGATCACCAAACTCTCCCCTCTTCGGATTTCGACACACACATGATGTTTCGTGGCCCCATAAGGAGCTCCACCGATGGCCCTGGTGGCTGTGTTCGCATGCGGCCCGCCCCACTTCGGCACACCCCTTGCACATCTGGTGGCCGCATAAGGGGCTCCACCGAAGGCCCTGGTGGCTGTGCTCGCATGCGGCCATGCCCCTTGCTGGCAGACCCTCACACTTCTCATGGCCCCTTCGGGAGCTTCACTGAAGGCTCCAGTGGCTGCGTCCGCACGCGGCCCTGCCCCATTTCGGTAGACCCCGACACGCTTCGCTGTTTCATAGGTAGCTCCACCGAAGTCCTTGGTGGCTGCGTTCGCATGCGGCCCCGCCCGATTTCGCAACACACATTTCGCGGCCCCATGGGGAGCTCCACTGAAGGCCCCAATGGATGCGTTCGCATGCGGCCCCACACTTTTCCAGACCTCCCACACTTTTCGTTGCCCCCTAGGGAGGTGGCGTTCGCATGCGGGCTCGCCCAAGTTCGGCAGATTTCTCGCACGCTTCGTGGCCCCATCGGGAGCTCCACCGAAGGCCCTGGTGGCTGCGTTCGCATGTGGCCCAGCCTCATTTCGGCAGACCTTGGGGAGCTCCACTGAAGGCCCCGACGGCTGCGTTTTCATGCGGCCCCGCACAATTGGGGCAGACCCTTCCAACGTTTCGTGGCCCCATACGGAGCTCCACCGAAATCTCAAGTGGCTGCGTCCGCACGCGGCCCTGCGCCATTCCGGTAGACCCCTGGCATGCTTCGTGGTTTCATAGGGAGCTCCACCGAAGTCCCTGGTGGCTGCGTTCGCATGCGGCCTCGCCCGATTTCGGCAGGTCGCGGCCCCATAGGGAGCTCCACGGCGCGTTCGTCGCCGTCTTCCATCGTGCGGACAGAGTCGTGAGTGCGCGCGTGAATGGAGAACGCCGAGTGTGGTTTGGCGTTTTTGCTGGCGAAGCTTTCAGGGGCACCGTAGGCCCCTCGCAGTATTCTAATATATTGCGCGGTCCTGCTCAGTCGCCTCGTTTTGAAAGTAGGTTCGGCTTTTCGGCAGGCTACTGCCTCGATCCCAGACCCCCGACGTCATGTTTTTGTTCGTAACGCTGGCCCCCCGAGGTCTCGACCCATTCCCCAGGCGGGTTCGTCATCCTGAGTCGTTCTCAACCCTCGCTTGTGTTCCTAGGCAGGCCGAAAATGGCAAACAGCCTTCTGCCACGGTCGTTCACGACCCCAAAGGGTTTGGGATTTCTCGGACGGGGCTAGGACGAGGATGCATCTGTTCCAGAGCTTTCCAGAACGCTCTCAGAGCCTTCCAGAACGCTCTCAGGAGACCGCGGCGCCCGAGACATCCTCCAGAGCCGCCGGATCTCAGAAGTTGCGGATTCATCCGCACCCGAAGTGATCCTCGTCCTGGCTTCGCCTGAATCGTGCTCGTCCCGCGAGGCGGCCTCCAGGGGCCACCAGCTGCGGGCCCGGGAGGCGCGCCTGCGCGAGCGGCTGCAGGGCCTGCAGCGGCAGCTCGGCGCGCGCGGCGGCGAGCGGGCCGAGGCGGGGGCGGCGGCCGGGCGTGGGCGGCGGGCCGAGGCATCGCCGATGCGTCTCGAGTTGGGGCCCGATCGGCTTCACGTCGACGTCGCCGAGGCATCACCGATGTCGACGATGCACCGCCGGGGCATCACCGATGCATCGCCGATGTATCGGCGGTATGGCGCGATCCTCCGACCACACCTTCTCCAACCACATCTGGGAGGACTTTCACTTTCTAGGTTTTCGGACGGTTTTGGTGCTCTTGGCGCTTTCTCAGCATCGGAATGGTCTCCAGGGGCAGCGCCTCGCCGAGGGCGTTCTGGTGCCTGGATCGTGTTGAACGGGCGCCAGAGAGCCGAGTTATGATTCCTAAACCGAGGGGACAGGCTCGGGAGGAACGCATCGACCCTCGTTCGGCCCGACAGGGGCCCGATAACCCAAGCCGCCCGGGAGCGAGCGGATTCGCTATGGGAGCCAATCGCCGCTTTGTTGGCGATGTTCCCCCCTCTGAGCCATATTTCCTCCCTCTATCCCCTTTCCCCCCCCGCCTTTTTTTTCAGGAGGAGGAGAAGGAGAAGGAGGAGAAGGAGGAGGGGAGGATGAACAGGAGAAGGAGGAGGGGAGGAGGAGGAGGAGGAGGAGCAGGAGGAGGAGGAGGGCGAGGAGGAGGAGGAGGGCGAGGAGAAGGAGGAGGAGGAGGAGGAGGAGGAGGAGGAGGAGAAGGAGAGGAGAAGGAGGGAGGCAAAGATAGGAATGAGGAGGAAGAAGAGGAAGAGGAGGAGGAGGAGGAGGAGGAGGAGGAGAGAAGGAAGGAGGAGGAGGAGGAGGGGAGGAGGAGGAGGAGGAGGAGGGGGAGGGAGGGAGGAGGAGGAGGAGGAGGAGGAGGAGGAGGAGGAGGAGGAGGGAGGGGGAGGAGGATGTAAGGATGAAGAGGGGGAGATGGAGGGGAGGAGGAGGAGGAGGAGGAGGAGGAGAGGAGGAGGAGGAGGAGCAGGTCGAGCAGGAAGGAGGAGGAGGAGGAGAAGGAGAAGGAGGAGGAGAAGAAGGGAAGGAGGAGGAGGAGGAAGAGAAGGAAGAGGAGGAGGAGGAGGAGGAGGAGGAGGAGGAAGAGGGAGAGGAGGGGGGAGGAGGAGGAGGATGAGGAGAAGGAGGAGGAGAAGGATGGGGAGGAGGAGGAGGAGGACCAGGAAGAGGACCAGCGCATCTAACTGAATGAAGTCTTGTCTGCTCTCTGCTGTACTACCCAGGTGGTTGCTGGAAATCCCTGATCGTTGAGTCGAGGGAGACTGGGGGTGCGAAACACGGCCTGCGTTTCATGCCTCCCTTGGGGTGGCGGCAGGTCTTAAAACAGTTGAGTGTTGAAATCTTGTTGCTGCTGGTGGGGGCCCCCATTGCACTCGCTCTTGAATGCCTTGGGATAGAATCCGCTGTAGGCGCCGCAAGACCAACAGGCAAGAACGCAGCTCTCGGAAACTAAGCGATCAAACACGTAAGCGTTTTGCCCTTTAATATTGTGTTCAGAAAGGGCAGCTAGACTCGCGCAGTGTCCTGGGCAGGCCTGACGCGACTTCCTATCTCTAGCAGCTTCAGAGCGAGCGCGAACTCGGCAGAGGTTTCCCCTCCGCAGCTCCGCCCCTCGATCTCGGGCGGATCGCGGCTCTTTGGCCTCCCGAGGCCTGGACCGCTCAGGCCGCCTCCCGTCTCCTCCTACTCTTCTTCCTCCTCCTCGGTACTCCTCACCTCTCTTTGGATGCCGATGATGAGGCGCCTTGTGGCACAATGGCGCCTCGGCCACGCTCCGGCCGAGGCGCGAGCTCCGGGCGGCGCGCCTCCCTGGCGCGGCGGCCCACGCCCCCTTCGTGCTCTGGTGCACACTGCACCTCGAGCCGCGGGGCCCGCCTCGAGGGCCCCCGCTCGCACTGGCGGGGGGGGGGGGGGGCTGGCCCCACCCTGGCTCAGCACTCCTGTACTACCCGGCACGTCGCCATGAGGCGGTCGGGATCTGACGCGCTCAGGGTAGGCTGTCGTCAGGGTCTCCGGAGGTGCTCGTCCCTCCTTACCCCTCCCCCGCCGCCCTCTCGAGGCCTCCCGCGGTGTCCGTCCCGCCTCGCCCACAGACCTACCTCCTCCTCCTCACATAGCCCATCACTGGGTTGCCTCCGCCGCCTCGCCGGCCTCGACGCTCCCCTGCGCTCCCAGCCCAAGGCCTGCGGCCACAAGCTGCCCACGCGCCACCAGCCTCAGGCCACTACGGCTGCTCGGCCATTGGACCATTGTGATGTCCGTGACCGCCACGCTGCTAGCCACTCCCTCCTTCATGCCGCGTGCCTCCCAGAGGTGCCCCTGGAAGGCATCGAGCCAACCCCCTCTCTGGTCCGGGTAGCCCCAAACCCGCACGAACGCCTCCAGCTCCTCCTCTGCCTCGGCCTGCTCGAGGCATCCGCTCCGGCGGTCGTCTCCGCCTCCGCCCCTGCGTCTACGACCCACCTCATAGTCGTGGCGCCGGCCCGTTCCCTTCGCCGTAGTCTCGAGATGCGCGCGCACTCCCGCCTGGCTGGGCCCAGCGCCGCTAGAGCCTCGCACGTCCGCCAGGTAGCGTGCCACCGCGCGCCGGTCGATCTCGACGTCCTCTCCCGGGATCAACTCGCGGGCCGTACGCGGGCTCTCTTCGCCCGGGATCCGCCCGCGCCGAGCCTCCTCCTTCCGGGCCTCCTCAGCTGCCTCATCCTCTCTGCGCTTGATCTGGATGGCCCGCGCCCGCAGCTCCGCCATCCTGGCCTCGCTGCTGGCCGCTAGGCTGGCCTCCTGGACACCCCCCGGAAGCCCTGGCCCAGTTGAGCGCGCCGCTGACGCACCTGCCCCTCCCTCGTCCACGATGGCGACGCTCTTCCGGGGTGGGCTGCGGGAAGACGTCCTCTTTCGGGGCATGGGTATCGGCAGCGGCTCCCTGGCCCTCCAGATATCGGCTCCACGCGTAGGCCGCGGCGGGGCAGACCGCACCTTCCGCTTAGGGCTCGGGGGGCGCCTGCTCTCCTCCGATGACATCGACTTTTCCTGTTCCTCAATGGCGCTCGGCTCCTGCACGGCGTTCTCCTCCCTGCTGCGTACGTCCCGGACCCGCGCCTTGAGGGCCTCAGCCTCCTTCAGGGCGCGCTCGGCCTCAGACAGGGCCCGCTGGCAATCTCTGTCGATATCCTCCAGCTCCGAGGTAGGGCGGCCCTCCACGCGCTCCGAGAGCCTCTTGTGCATGCGCCCCGCCGCCTCGCGCGCCCCGCCCCCGGCCTCCCTCCCGCGGCCGTCGCGGGCCGACGCCAAACCAGCTGATGCCTTCGCGCCCTCGCCCTCGGAGTGCACCTCCTCCTTGACAGTCGGCGGCAACATCCTCGCCGTCGGCTTGACGCGCTCGCCCGGCTTGCTTTTGCGAGTGGCCTTATGTGCCGCCTCGACGTCCGGAGGAGGAGGAGCCTTGACTCGAGCCTCTGCCTCTCTCTCCCTCCTCCTGAGTTCGTTCGGCGACGGGGGCGGGCACTCCAGTGACGATCCGCTACTCCCAGAAGCAACGGCGGCGGCAGCCACAGCGGCTTCGATCACAGCGGCCACATCGCCGGATGGGGCCTGCTTCTTCTTCCTCCGCCGATTCCTGCCGCCGCATCCGCCACCCGCGTTCGGCCGCTGATCCTCGCTCTGGCCATGGGGCGGCTTCTCGCAGTACTTGTAGTGGTTGACGCCGCCCTCTGCCCAATCCTGTCCGTGGTGCCGGCCGCCGCCTTTGTCGCAGCAGTAACCCAGCTTTCAGAGCCCTCTCGGATCGCTATGCTCCAGGTACAGGCGCCCCGGGTTAAGGCATGGGGCGAGCGTCCTGGCTCGCGCCTGCCCCTTTGCTTCAGCGTCCGTCACCTTAGGTCCTGCCGCCACCGCACCTGACGAGCTGGCCGCTCCAGGTGTAGGCGCGTCCGGACCCTCCGCCGCCCACTTGCCCCAACGCTCGTCGTCGTCGCCCACTGCACCTGCTCGCCTGTCCGACCCGCTGGCTCCACTCCCCGCGCCGCCCTGCACATGCCGAGCTTCGCACGCCGGTCCGTGACTGCGCCCCAACGTGTACCAGCACGTCCTACAGCAATAAAACACTGGGGTCGACAGCTCCGGCAGCCTCCTCCCGCAGCCCTCCATATGGCAGACGCCCTCCTCCTCCTCTGGGTTGACCCTTCTGCGCCTAGCGCGGGCCCCGCCCTCGGTCTCCTCGTAGCTGAGCTCCTCCGGCCACTGGGTATCCCTGAGGTCCCGCCCCTCGCGGTCCTGGCCGATGCAGACGTACGACACGTTACTGATACTGCCCTCCGCCGTGTTCATGTTGATTCATGTCCGCCTCTATGCCGTAGTAGAACGGCACAGCGAACGGCGGCGCCTTGGGCAGGTTGACGGGCTGCACGACGGGGGGCGGGAGCGGATCGCCCCCCTGGAAGTCGTTCGGCACCACCGCGATGAGCGAGGTGCCCTCACTGGCTGAGAGGGCGGCGGTGCTGGCCGGCCCTGCCGTCCCCTCCTTGGCCCCCGCACGGTCCCGGGCCATCGAAATCGGGTAAGTGCAACTGCGCATCGGGCACCTTGTGTCTCGTCCCTCACCCTGCACGCCACAAAATTCGCACCGGGCATACTGGGCGTCCGGGCTTCCCCCTGGGAATGGCACCGCGCGCTCCTCGCCGCCTCCTCCTAAGCTGCTGCCGGGCCCTGGCACTGCCGACCCTCTGTCAGCGGCAGAACTGCCTGGACAGCCCCCGTTGCCTGACGCCGCCCTGGCGGGTGGACGGTAGCCTGCCTCCTGCTGGCGCCTCCGGAGCTCCTCATGCCTGGCCTCGCATCCCGGCCCGTGGTTGGCTCCTTCGGTGTTCCTGCACGTCCTGCAGCAATGCCAGCTCCAGCCGTGGCCCAGGTCGGCGCAGCTCCTCCCGCGTTCATTCCAGCACGGCGGGCCCCCGTCGGGGCCCCTGCCCACTCGCAGCAATGCCACATCTGGGTCCGGGTCCTTCAGCAAGCTCTGCGCTCGCCTCCGGCCGCGCTCGTCGTCGGCAGGGATCATGCCGCGCTTACTTGGGGGTCCGCTCCCTTGATCGCCGCCGCCCTTCCATTCGGGTCGTGCGGACACTCCTTGCGCGCTCGCTCGCAGCCACATCTGCAGCCTCTCCCACGACGCATCCTCTCTGGCCAACGAGCAAACCCCTGCCTTGGCCGAGTCCCGCCTCTGCCTCACCTGGTCCAGCTGGGCCAGCGCCTCCTCGACCATGGCGTCCGCGAGCTGCGGGGCGGCCGCCCAGATGCCCCATGCCACGAGGGAGCCCCGCGGGGTCCCCTCGTCAGCCGCTCTGCGAAAGATCGCCGGGGCGCCACGCGTGAGCTTCCCAGCGGCCACACCCCGGGAAGAGGATCCCGCGCGTCATGGACAAGCATGCGCTCTCCTGGCTTGGCAGCTATACTGCCGCGCTCCTGATGCTCGGGGCTGGCCCATCCACCGTGAACACCAGCTCCTTTGCTCCTCCTCCCTTCGGATGCCAGTGGCCACATGCAGGGCCGGGCCCCCTCCGGGCCACCTCGTTAGGAATGCGCGGGTCGAGGGCCCTCTCGCCGTTGCCGCTGCTCAGCCTGACGACGCCCGGGCTCGGCTTTCCCACGCGCGAGCGGGTGCTCATGGGCTCAACGCACTCCTGGCCTATGCTCGCAGCCTCGCCGCCTCCTCGGACTGCCACGACTACGCGCCGCTGCCTCGCGATGGGGTCGCCCAGCCGGGCGCGGCAGACTTCTATACCTCCCCCCACCTGAAGGCCCTCGGCCTTACTAATTGTTAGCAGCACATGTAAGTAGGTTATAAGTAAGTTGCAACTAGGTTGCAAGTAAGTTATAACCATCAGTAATGTTACTAAGTCGGCTAACTCGGGCGGTGCATTTGGAGGTAGATAGCTTGAGTTAGCGAAGTTGCTAACTTCGCTAACCTTTACATGCTTACTTGAAAACAGAGCTGCTGCATCGGGTTTTCCTTGGATGTTGCCTCCAGAAACGCACGCATGTGTTTGGATTTTCGGGATCACGCATATCGGAAATCATGATCCAGACTTGCGTGCGAACGCATTCAGAATATTGTATCGAGCGTTACAAGAATGTTGTGCATTGCAAATGCAACGTATCATTTCGAATTCGCAACCCTCTGTTGCACATGTTTTTGAATGTCACTAGAGTTTGGGCTCCAGCCGTTTGGGCGAGGATTGCTGCTGGCGCTTGCGGCGTCCTCCTGCACGCGGCGTGATGAACGCCTCCCGTGAACAGCAGATCGCGGAGGTCCGCCCCAAGATGATGGCCATCAAGGACATGTACTTGCATCCTGATGCAGCGGTGGTCTCATTACTTGAAGACGTATGCAGCATTGCAAGAGGCATAGACTGCCTGAGGGTAGAAAAAATACACTCGAAGTATATGATGGTGTGCACAGAGAATCGTTACGGAGATGGAATCATTCCGAGCGAGGTTATGGATTTGATTTCCAAGATCTTCAAAAATGGATTCAAGAACTCAGCCCTCCAGAATCCAGCTTGCATGGAACTTCCACCAGTGGGCACGCCTGAGTACAATACAATCAAGAACTTCAATTTCAAAATAATGGAGGACTCAGCGGGCCAGCTGCCGCAGTATGATTGCGATGCAAAGTTCGCATCCTATACGTGCGGCCACACATCCATGGGTTTGCGTTGCATCAACGCAGGGGTTCCAGCACCCACGGTCATGCCAGAGCGTTTCGACAGAATCTCGCACCAAGGGAAATTGTCACTGACGAGGTTACGGGAGGTTCAACCAGACTACGCTAAGGCGTGTGACGAAGGAATTGAGTGGAAGGTCTTTCGGTACGAGTTCGTGAAGGAGTTCCCGTGGATTAGTAATCTTGCTCAGGAGGCTGGCAATGCAGGCCAACAAATTGCCAGATGCGAATCTCGCATGAGTCTCATGCACAAGATCGCAGCAATTGCCAACCGACACCACACGGGTGGCACCATGATCGATTGGGATAGTGTGATCCGCGAGGCGACTCGCGCAGGCTCTCTCTTTCCTGGGGAGATCGATGGCTTAGTAAAATATGTGAAGGAGTTGTCTGGCGGCCTCGGCAACCCGATCTTTCTGAACGAGCTTCGCGACTTCTCGCGGCAGCTGACCTCCCAGTGCGTGGTCACGGGTTCAATGGCGAAGTCTCTCGCCGAGGTGCAGATCAAGCATGAGGGGGCCGCTGCGACATTCAAGCTCGCATGCATGAAGGCGATGACATGTGCGACGGGTAAGTTCGCGAGGGATGGCCATCAGATGCTTTTGAAGCCAGGCGACGTGACCGCCTTGTCGAGCGATAAGAAGTCTACGATTGTAATGGTGGCCGATGAGTTTCTTCAGAAAGTGCGACAGATCGCACGCGGTGAGGGCATCACGGCAGACACGGTCGCCTACGGCACCATCGTGGGATTGACTGACGTTCGCGTAGTTCATTTCGTGTTCAACAAGCCCGATGAGCGCTTAGGCACTTGCAAGACGCTGAATGACATCGGGGTCAGCTTCACCACTGCGTTGGCAACGCACGTTGGCAAAGCAGTTGCTAGCCCATGGAAGCAGATCGGTCGCGAGGGCGCATCCAAAGCCGTGACAGGGCAGGCGCGTAGCTCAGATGTGAAAGAGTACACCGCTTCGGGCAAGTGGTCGAACCAAGTGGACAAGCTCAGTGACAAGGGGTTTGAGGTTGGCGCCAAAGTCGCCTTGGCGAGCGACACCTTGGGTGAGAACATTTACGAGCTGATCTCCATCGACGCTGCGACTGGCGTGAAGTTGAAGCTTCAGGCCACGGGCAGTGCGACATGCCACCCCATCGACGACTTCTTACGTGGCAAGTTCGCCGTGTCCACGATTATGAAGGACAGTCTTGCGACCTCGTCGCAATGCATGTGGAATGCATATACACCCCCACACCTTTGAATTCTCGTTCGTCGTTCCCTCATCTCATTTGGCTCTGCGTCGTCATGTCTCATCTTTTTTTCCCGCTGCTCCCCCATAGAGGAAACGATCGACAAGTTCGCTGATCATGGCCCCCTCAAGTCTGTCGATTACCAGTGGGGTATCGAGGAGGCCAAAATCAGGCTGGCCTTGGATGATGTATACAGCCAGAACGGCAACTGTCTCAAGTACTTGAGTGGCGTGATTACGCCTGTTAAGCTTCGTGCTCTCACCGTAACGCGTTCGTTTGAGGCTGAAGAGCTGGTGCTTGTCCCACTCTCTTCGGCAATCTACTTGAAGAAGCAGACTGATATAGTTCAGTGTGGGCATGTGTTCATGAAGACATACAAGGACCCCAAGGGATTGACGTTCAATATCGTGTTGGCCCCCAGTGGTGGCATCAAGATGCCTAAGGCTGAGACGAACAC